GCCTCGCTCCTCGCAGCGTGCTGTCTGCTGCGGCGTGGTGCCGTCGCCGCAGCCTCGGTGTCTCTCGTGGAAATGCAAGACCTCGTTGTCCGAGAAGCGTGGTGTTGGGGTGGGCAGGGGAAGAGTTGTTCATTTGTTGTCTGCACTCCATTTGTTTCTTTTTTTTCTTTTTTTTATTTTTTGAATTCTGACCAATGTAACATCTGCTAAAATGTCTTCCTTGTCATTTGCTTGGTGACCACGCAGCCTTCCCACCACTCATTGAGAGCTGGACCAGATCTCACAGAGTCTGAAAAGAGCTATGTGGTAAGGCCACTGTTTAAATCAGACGCGTAGTCCTAGGCTCTCGTCGCCCAGACAGTAACACCTCAGTAGAGATAAAATCCCAGCGCCCTTTTTAGCTGCAAAGTAGGCACATGTTTATCTCTCTGCATCTACTGTTTTGCTTGCAACGGAAAAAGGGGGTTCAGCAATTAGTCAGGCTGCCGCAGCCAGTGGGAAGCTGGGCCGGTTGTGCTGCCGGTCCCTGGGCAGGAGTTAAACGCAGCAAACTGCATGCGCGGAGCGGCTCGCCGGGCGTTCTCCAGCTGGCTCTGTGGCGTTTGTAACGGTGCTGCTGCGTGACTAACTGCAACCTCTTACGCTGCCGCTTTTAAAAATATGTGTGTGTGTGTGTTTGTTACAAATCTTCAAACTAAATGCCAAATTCTTCTGTATCTCGCCTGTTTTTCCATGCTTACACCTGGATCCCTTCTGCACTCCACTGGATATTTACCTGGATCTACAACTCTTCTGTTTTTTTTGTTTTTGTTTTTTTTACTGGACTTACGCACTGCACCCGGAATGTCCCATCTCTTCTTGTCTATATTTTCCCCTCCCTCCCCCCTGTTGACTGTTCTTTGGGTGTTCGTGGATGTCAATGCTGCCCACCACGCAGGAAGCTGTTTGCAATGAGATCATAAACATTGCAGAAAAGTCTGTGCATTACTGCAGTGCTATTTCTCAGCCTCTTGACCCTCGCCACAAGGTGACCCCTAATGACCATAAACCATCTCTCATCATTTCTCAGCAACCTCAAGCACAGCAGCAAGAAGCCAGCCCTGACAGAAGTCAGACACCACGAGACATGTAAGTCCTGCTGGCTCCCACCTCTTCCAGGGGCCTTGTTTCTGACCGGTGGTGAAGCTGGGGGGGGTATGAGAGCTTCAGCATCTCAGGAGTTACGTTAGAGTGTCAGCTTTTCTTTAAAGAACAAAACCAGCCATGATAATGAATATTTTATAACTGGTACCTTTGTGTCTGTATAGCACCTGAGAACGCCCTCATGACCCAAGACTGGGTCTCCCTTGGGTGCTTGGTTCATGCTGGTTATGGAGGCTATCTCAGCGTCTCCGTATCTTGAAGCTGGAGACAAATTGATATCCACTGGCTCATACGGCGTGGGTCAACGTGCTCGCCCCTGGCCGGAGCTTCTCACGGCACAGCGAGCAGTCCCAGCACCGGTGCCACGTGGTGCCTCGTTGGCCAGTTCCACAGATGGACTGGTGGCTGAAGGATCCGAGAGGCCAAGGCTGAGGTTTTCGGAGCTGTCTGGTGGGTTTGAACATGGAGCTGCCCTTAAGCTTGGTGGGGCCTTTTGCTGATGGTTTTGAGAATAGTAGCCCCCACTATGTGCTGGGGGACTGAAGTTCCTTGGCAGTTGGCTCCTGAAAGGAGCCTTTGCTTTCCCCTGCTGCTTTAAGCGGAGTGGAAAGTCTCACATCAGCTCGATTTCCACGCCTCGCAGCTTCCCCAGATTTACCCAGAGATTGTTTCAGCTCCATAAAGCTCCTTTCTGATAAATACGCAGTGCCTCTGGTGCAAGTGGTGTCTCCGGGCAGGATTCAACCTTGGATTTTGCTTGCACCGTCCCTCCTCACCCGTGATTTATTCAGCAACTGGAGTGCTGTAAATAGCAGAGCAGGTGGCATCTTTTCTAAAGTCCTTCACGCTGCCGTTTGGTCATCCCCTGCCCGTGAGCCTGGGCGAGGCAGCAGATGTCTCAGCCCAGGAGTGAGTTTTTGGCTGGCATTTGGCAAGCTGTCACCGTCCCTGGAGACGAGCACGTGGCAAAGGGAAACAGCAGCTCTCCACATGTCCCACGCAGCGCAGGCGTGACGCGTCTCACTGCCGTGGCCGCGGGACAGCCGCCAGTTTAGTCCCGTTGGCTTCCACCTCTCCAGTGGAAAACACGGGGCCAGGGCGCGTTGGATAAAACACAGCAGGAGTCAGAAAGGTGAAGGGGGGAATTTCAGTGCCTAACATGTGGTATCTTCCTGGTTTTAGAGTCAGCTACCAAGCCCTCTACAGCTACACGCCCCAGAACGACGACGAGCTGGAGCTGAGGGACGGTGACATCGTCGATGTCATGGAGAAGTGTGACGACGGCTGGTTTGTGGGTGAGTGTGGCGCCTGCCTGTCAGCAAAGCTTTTTGAGGGGCGGATAGCTGTTTTGGGGAGCGTCTGGAAGTTGCTTTCGTTTGCAGGGTGAAGAGCAACTCAACTTTTTTCCACAATTTCTCATCTTTTCCCACCAGGAACATAAAATTGGGGAGCAGGGCGGCGGAGCTTTGTTTTCCTTGCTAGGTCTCTGGTTTTTCTTTCTTTCTGCTCTTAATTTCCCTATTCCCCTCTTCCTCCTGACCCCTCTGGCTGACACAGATGGTGTAGCAACAGAGGGAAATGAGGAAAACTGGATTTCTGTGGCTTTTCCAAAGCTGGTGGCGCCTTGGAAAGTTACAGAAAGTGGCAAGTGGGGGATGGTGGGAACATGTGAATGAGCGTTGCGGTCCCTGAAAATCCAGCCGCATCGGCAGCTGTACGTTTGGCAGAATCGAGCCCTTTACCTGCCAAGGATGCGAGTCTGGACAGCGTTCTCCACCTCAACACTGCAGATCCAGGCTCGTTATCCCTGCTGGAGGGAGGTTAGCTCATTTGCACTGATAGGAGCTTGGCTCCTGGCCTGCAGGCCCAGGAGCTGGCACCAGCACCTCCGTCATTGTGAAGAGGCAAGACCAAAGATGGGTGGGAGCAGAACTAGTTCTCATCTCACACAGAATCACACACAGAATGGTTGGGGTTGGCAGGGACATCTGTGGGTCACCCAGCCCAACCCCCTGCCGAAGCAGGGTACCCCAGCGCCGGCCGGCC